CAAAAATAAGAATCTATTTAGCAATAAATTAAATGAAATAGTTAGTAGTTATCAGAAGATAACGTCCAAATCCAAGTGCTAAAAGAGTCTTTCATCTATTTTAAAAATCTATTAAGTCATACAATTAAAATACTAAGCGATACGGAAGCTCAAATAAATTTGAGGAATATCGTCTGGTGGTTATGTAATGCAAATGGTGTGACGTACATTATTTGAATAGAATATATTGACATACAAATATACATATACACATGTATATAATTTGTATATACGGAATATTACCCGTTCTTTTGCCTGTTTGAAGAAAAAAAAATTCTTACGAAACTAATTGCGCATGTGAATGCGTTCTTGTCAAGAAAAGACAAGAACGAGAGTACAGTTATGTCTACATTACGACTTATTATTACAATTACACACGAGGTAGAAATAGGAGGAATGTCCAAAATGTAATAGAAACAGAAAACAATACACTATATATATATATATATATAATATATATATATTATACATATATATATATATATATATATATTGAATTTAACATTAATCATAAACAAAATTCTGACAGTTCAAAAAAAATGAATTTTTAACGACTTCAATAAGATACAAATAAATTAATTATTCCAAGTTATGTTATAGGCAATATTGGCAATCAAATTATAGATATAAATTATATCATATTATATTAAATTTCGACCAAAAAGGAAATATTTTGGCATTTAAAAATTTAGTGCACATTGGATATATGAAATTGACATTCAATATTTTTAAATTAAATGCAAAAGTGAAAAATCTGATATTTATATAAAGTATTATATATTCAGATAATGGTACTGCGTTGATTCAGACTAAAATCTAATTTATTCATTGATTAAAAAAATATTTCACTATTTGACATAAATAAAATTAAAATAAACAAAACACGATGATGCGTTGGAATTAATTATCGAAGTGTAAAGAAATTTGTGTAATAAAAATATAACATTATTATTAATATATCATGTATTAATATATCATGTATTATTATAAGAACTTCTGCAAAGCGGCAATATATTTTTATGGCAAAACAGCGTTTGCCGGGTCAGCTAGTATATATATATATATATATATATATATATATATATATATATATATTAGGGTGGTCCTTAAAATGGTCATTTTCGAATTTCCTTGCTCCCAGGGGCTCAAATGGTTCCAAATTGATAAAAAACAATTCTCTGAAAGTTCTAGCTTTTAATATTCACGTTTAGATAGAGCGCAATTCAATCAAAGTTTGTATGGAAAGAGCATGGAAAAAAATTTGAAAATTAAAAAAAAATGTTTTAGGTGTAACTTAGCGACAAATGAATGAGTTTTATTCATTCATTTGTTCGCTAAATTACATCTAAAAAACATTTTTAAAATTTTTGAAAATTTTTCCATGCTATTTCCATACAAAACTTTGATTGAATTGCGCTCTATCTAAACGTTAATATTAAGAGCTAAAACTTTCAGAGAATTGTTTTTTTATCTATTTGGAACCATTTGAGCCCCTGGGAGCAAGGAAATTCAAAAATGACCATTTTAAGGACCGCCCTAATATATATATATATACATATATATATATATATATATATATATATATATTAGGTTGTCAAATATCTCCCTTCCGCCTTTTTGTATTATAAACCAAGAGCAAAAAAGCGGAAGGGAAATATTTGACAACCTAATATATATAACATGGATATTTTTGAATTTCCTTGCTCCCAAGGGCTAAAATGGTTCCAAATTGATGAAAAAAATTCTCTGAAAGTTTTAGCTCTTAATATTAACGTTTAGATAGAGCGCAATTCAACTAAATCACTTGGTTCTTCTTCCTAACAAGTAAGTAATACTTATATAAGTAATACTTATTTGATAAAATATATCAAATTTTTAACTTCCCATAGGGCAAGTTATAGTAATCGCAAAAAAATCGAAAATGAACATTTTTATTTATCTTTACGTTTCAGAGGTTTCTGAACATTTTGGCATACCTTAGAAAAAATGAATGTATGTGTGTGTGCGGATACAAATTTTCGTCGACGATTTCGGGAACACGAATGAAACGATTTGGTTGATTTAAAAAACATTCGATCCGTATTGATAAGGAGACATGCTGACTAGTTTTTGGCAAAGGCAGGTCTAGCCGTTCCGAAGATACGGGGCAAAAATTGCCAAAAACGGTAACTAAGTCTTTAAGAGAACAGAGCGTTCGATTTTAATAATTCAAAAAACATTTTACTTGTATTGACAAGATGAAGAATTGATCAAATTTTTATGAAGGCAGGTCTAGCGGTTTCGGAGATCTAATGAAAAAAGTAAAAAAAAATGCCATTTGGCGGTCAAAAATGATCATTAGACATATGCACATCATATTATCAGATATTGTATAGAGATTTTAAAAATGTGTATAAATTTTGTTAATATTTCTATGGGTTCCGTATCATGGTTTATAATGTTTAAAGTCCACTTATATAGTGCAGATAAATGTCCTCGACAATGGGTACCAAAAACTTACAAGAAATTTAAAAAAAAATCTAAACTCCTAAAAAACCTTAATTTTAATCATTAAAATAGACTCACTAAATATTGCACTGTATATTGATTTATACCGTATGTGTGAGAGTACATGTGTTTAAATGAGATTGAGCCAAAATCTGATAGATTTATATTAAACAACAGAAAAAATAGCTTAATAATATATTATACTTATGGTTTCAAAACGGCAGCAATACTTTTCCACAAAAAGCAAGATAGCAAAACTATGGTTATATCAAACGCAGATGGTTCATATATAAATCTCATAGGTGATTTATGTATTATTAAAACAAATTGTTAATCATATTTAGTAACTGAAAGAGAATATAAAAAGGTATCGGCTTCAATATATTGTACTGTACACATCGATATATATTATAATTAAAATATATATTAAATCAGACTTTTATATATCTTCAACTAGGAAAAGACAATTTATGTCTTGAAATATAATCCAATAATGTATTAATTTTTAATGTCTCATGAATTGTATACAATCTTTTATTTGAAATAGAATGTATTAATGTCATATCATAGATTTTGTATGAAGAACTCGGTAAATTGTAATTGCAGCTCATTCGTCGTATAAAATATCAGGAGACCTGTATATCAAATATCTCAAATATTTACTCAGTTCCTAATGAATAAATAAAAACAATGTTATATAGAAATGGAAATTAAGTCAATTCTCACAATCTTGTTTGAAATATAATGTAAAACTAGCTGTAAGTGGAATTCTGTCTTGAGGCAATTATGGCATCGTGCCTTAAGGCAAATTGCTGGAACTTCCCGTACCGTACCGAAATGTTCGTGGAATACTGAATGTTTTCAAATAGATTATTATGAATATTGTAACATTGTCTAATATTTATAAGAATTATATAAACTGAATTGCAGAGTTGAAATTATTTGAAAAGTATATTAGAACTATACTCAGAATTAAAAATCTGAAATATTTTCGATATACAAAAAACTAAAAAAAAAAAAAAAAAGGGAACAAAATTTTTTTTTCCAAAATCAATTATTTTGTTAAGACAAGCAAAAAGTTCTTTGAATCTTAAATCGGACGCTTAGTTCTCTCAAAAACTGCCATTTTTTACATATTTTGCTCCGTATCTTCGAAATGGCTGCGCCTGCCTTTGCCAAAAACTAATAAGCACTTCTCTCAATCATTACTAATTGAATGTTTTTTAGATCATTCAAATCGGATAATCCGTTCTCTCAAAAATTCGATTTCAATTTTCTGCACTCTTTGCTCCGTATCTCCGAAACGGCCGGACCTGCCTTTGCCAAAAACTAATCAGCACATCTCCCTATCAATGGGAATCGAATGTTTTTTCGAACCATTCAAATCGGTTGATCCGTGCGCCCTAAAACGTGACTGGAAATTTGTATCCATACATACATACACACATACATACACACACACACACACACACATCCATTTTTTCTGAGGTATGCCAAAACGTTCAGAAACCTTCAAAACGTCGAGAAATGTTAAAATTTTCAATTCCGATTTTCGGCCCATTACAATAACTTACCCTACGGGAAGTTAATAACACAGAATAATATATCGTCTTATAATATATCTGTAAAGATTGTTCTGCTAAGCTTAGTAATTTAAATTGAAGAAATCGACTTAGAGAATATTAGCTTGGTATTTATAAAATATTGTTCAAGTAAAGCAGTAAAAAAGTCTAATCTTTTATTAACTGACGATCTACTAAAGTCTTCAATTTAGCTTGAAATATATTGCATTAATGTACTGTCATCAAATATTAACATAAATGTAATTATGAATATCTATATAAATATCGTGTAGCCTTTGGCATAGCTAGAAATATAATGCAATACTGCATCACCACATTTAAAGTGTCTCGAAGATGGCACAAACTTTAAATAGAATACAATAATGTGTTAAAATCTTTACTTGAAAGACTCGATTGGGACTAAACAGACTTTTTAATTGGGTACAACAAAAGTTTAAACGGATATTCCAGTGTTTCTCTCATGGTCTTTTATATTATAATTTCCTCCAATAAAGTCTTGAAATAGAAAACATAAATGTGTCAGTAACTTTAACATAGAACAGGAGGCAATGATGTATCATATCACAAGTTTTGCTTGAAAGGCTCGATACATATTATAACCTATGAGACATATTTTGGCATCAGAAGTTTAGAACTTTAAATTTCAAATTTGAAGATTTACTCTCTTCCTGATGAATAAACCAAAATTAAGATTATATATAAATATATGCAAATATGCAAAAATGTCAAACACTTTGTAAAAAACCAACAAAAACATACAACCAAAGCATTTGGTGACTATAAGCCTTCGGCACTCCATAAAACACCAACAGATATAAAAATATCGTCAATTATTACAATTAAATTACAAAAACCTGAATTTTATTCCTCCATGTGTCAATTATTAATTACCTTGTATCGCTAGAGACGTGCATAATCCCACCGCTAAAATTAACAATACACTTTTACTTATCGAACTAGAGCACTTTTGAAACATTTTCCTAATCGTTTTCAACGTTAATTTCTAAAATATTATTAATAATTTTAACTGTTTTTGTTTTTTTCGTCGAAAAGTCTCGTCACAACACGTAAAATGACAAACACTTCATAGTTCACTGATCACGCGTCAACAACCGAATGAATTTCGAGCGGACGAGAGATTTGCGGCGAGAGTTGGGATATTTAGTGCTTCGAAGGTTGGTAGTGTGAGATTAGGGTACCGGCACACGGGGTAAATGACAGAGGTAAAGAAAATAGTTGAAGAATGTGCTTTTTTTGAAGTAAAACTTTTTTAGGAGCGACATGGGTGTAAATCCGTACAAATGCAACGGAAGAGCGTTACGGCATAACTGTGCGTCATTGGCTCTCGCTGAGATCATTCTGTACTGGTCGATTGTGAATAGTCGTCATGTATGTGAATAGAGACCTGTCGTTGTATGCGTACCGATATCAACGAGGAAATCGGTATAGATAAATAAACATTTTAAAGTTACATCGTAGTACAAATCTTGATTTGATAAAAAAAGCCTGAATCAGAAGAATATTTCACCCTGTACCTTGAAAATAATAAAACAAATTAAACGTTTGTGCATTATTATTTTTATTACATTACATGTTTACTACATTATTATTTTTAAATATTATACATATTTTTAATGCTATTAAGAATATATAATTCATAATTAATTATTATATAAATATGCATAATAGTTGACACTAATAAATGTGTGCATAACGTGTGTATATATATATATATATATATATATATATATATATTATATATATATGTAACTACCATATTACTAATGAACATTATTCAAAATTGTTATATGATGTATTTATTGTTACTTAAATGCCATCTTGTACAGTAGCAAATAAGTTTTACTTCAATCGCGTGTGATCCTTACGCGCACTCTTTTTTATATTTATTAACTTCCCGTAGGGCAAGTTATAGTAATCGCAAAAAAATCGGAAATAATTTTTTTTATAGATCTTTATTTTTCAAAACTTTCTGAACATTTTGGCATACCTTAGAAAAAATGAATGTATGTGTGTGTGTATATATGTAGGTGTGTGTTTGTGTGTGTGCGGATACAAAATTTCGTCGACGATTTCAGGAACACGGATGAAGCAATTTGAATAATTCAAAAAACATTCGATTCGTATTGATAAGGAGACGTGCTGATTAGTTTTTGGCAAAGGCAGGCCTAGCCATTCCGAAGATACGGGGCAAAAAGTGCCAAAATCGGTAACTCAGTTTTTAAGAGAAAGGAGCGTCCGATTTTAATAATTCAAAAAACATTTTACTTATATTCACAAGATGAAGAACTGATCAAATTTTCATGAAGGCAGGTCTAGCGGTTTCGGAGATCTAGTAAAAAAAAGTAAATAAAATGCCATTTGGCAGTCAAAAATGATCATTAGACATATGCACATCAAATTATCAGATATGCAGTTATAGCAGTACGATCGCTTTGAAAAAAAGTTCAAAATTTCCGAAATATGTTTCTCAAAAATCTAATTTTTTTAAAGTAATTTTTTTTCAAAAGTGTTAATCGTTTTAAAAAATAGAATAATTTTTGGTACGGGAAGTTCTAGCAATTTGCTTTAAGGCACGATGCCATGCGCCCCACTAGTTTAATTATTATTAAAGTATTAAAAATTTATAAAAATATCTATTGTCACATATCTAATAGCTAATAATAGCAATCCCCATTACTTTTTCACACGTGTGCCAAACGCCTAACATTCACAAAACTCTTTCGCGCAACTGTCACCATCAACAAAGTGTCATGTAGAAATAAATAAATCTAAAAACAAATGTAAATACTACCGACAATTAAAAACAACAACAGGAATATAATAAAATAATTTACAGCACTTGACAAATAAACATTGTACTGTATCTTATTTTGAAAAAGAGAAATTTGCACAAAATGCGTTCACATAACCTCACTTTTCATAATTAAATGAAAAAGAAATAATTAGATAAAGAAAAATAAGGATAGATTTTTATCAAAATGACACCTATAGACGATTTTGCATACCTTATCAATCATGTGTTGCTTGGAGAAGAACCAGTAAGTGGATAATAGACTCATGACACAAATAAATATATATTTATTAATGTGCTTTGTATTTTCAGACAATTGAAGATTTTATACTCTTAGTAGGCACTCTGGTAGCCTTTGTAGCGTTTATTCTCTGGTGCTGTTTTCCTATACATCCAAAAGACTCAAACGTTCCAAACCCGTCTACATCTAGATCTGAGGCAAACGAGTCAAACGGTCATTACAGTTCCTCTCGAAGTCATCATGATCACTGCTACAGTTGCAGCTCGTGAAAATGATAAATCTAGTCACATATATATATATATATATATATATTTATTTATAAGTATGTAATTTGTACTTAAAGTGTTCGCTCTCAATATTTTTAATACTATGAATTATCCATTTGTGATTGTTGAAATGCTCTAATAGTAATGGAAAGCTTTAATATTCCTATTTATAATGGTGGAAAGGCCTATCTCTTTCAAATAATATATTTATTTATGAATTTGTATCTGAATGAATTTTTATGTCAATTATTTTATATTATATTATATTATAAATATATTAAATAGGATAGTGTACTTAAAACCAAAAAATGTGAAGACTTGAATTTTTGATTATAGCATTAAGATTTATCCCAAATATATTTGTCATGTATATTTAATAAAAAATACATTTCTCAAAGCTATAAATGGTGTAATTTATTTATTTAAATCAAACATTTTAAACTTATTTATGCATTTATTAGTAATTTGAAGTGATTTTGTAGAAAATCTGTAGATAAAAGGTTCATAGTATTTTTAAGTTCAAAAAATATTTTATATAGAAGAATTTACAATGGTATTGCATTAAGTTTTAACATATTCATATTATAAATTATGCAATAAGTTTTTATAATAAATGCTATAAATGATTTTACTGCACCTGAAGCATTTTATTTGGATAAAATCCATTTAATAATGGAAAATAACAGAAATTAATAATATATAAATAGAATGTTGTATTTTCTAGATTTTCCTTCTTTGAATATAAATTCTCTTTTGTCATCAATTTTCACGTTCTTTTTCCTCTTCATCACTGGTGCTATCATCATCACCTTCTACTGGATTATCATCTTCATTCACCATTTTTAAATACCATTTTTCCAAATCCTTTTTATCATATTCACATTGTCCTCGATATCCAATAGCATAATAAGTCTTGCCATCACTCTCGTCAGTTGCAACTATATAATTTTGCTGTTGAAATTCAGCAATTTGTTTTTTAATACTCCCAAAAGGTCCATTGCTGCTGTCATTTACTGGGAGACCACATTCATTTGAAAAATCTTCTAATGAATCACCCGTACATTTTCCTCCAGACATGTGTATATGCACCAGAATCATATATCGAAGTATCATGACATGTTTTTGCTCGTCAGTAAATTGTAGGCTAGGATAATGAGGTTTAATCAAATTAAGTAAAAAGTACTGATGTTGTGAAGGAGGTTTTTCAGAATCTACAGTTTTTAATTCGTAGCCGTATATTTCCTTTAAATTTTTTTTAACCTCCTCCAACACAGTATTGCATATCCTAGTGTTGCCTTCGAGAGCATATTTAATAATGTTCTGTCTTTTAATTAAAGCTGAATTATCTGCTGCATATAAAATATAATTTAGTGCATCAGATACGTAGTTTTGCAATGCTGTATCATCTACATTAACGGCAGAGGATTGTGTTTGACTTGAATTTTGTGATTGTGAAAAATCAAAATCCTCATCGCCACGATGTCGTTTCTGACTTCTTGGTCTAGGCATTTTTTTCTAGCGCCAAAGTAGGAAAAGATTCGGTTTTAATTGTTAAAATTCGTCGTACACTTATGTCATATATTCTGTTAACACAAAAAAGTAATGATGTACAAACAAACTTTCCTCAACAACAAGACGTTTAACAGAAAAATTCAAAATTTTATGAAGTTTTTCGTGGTACTTTTTTTACAATCTGCTATACTTTTTTATGATCTAAATAACGAAAAATAACGTAATTACGTCAATGTATGAAAACATAATAAGACACAATTATAAAAATCACTGACCTGTTGCCCAGAATGCACTCGCTCTCGTTATAATTTTTGGTTAGATCTATGTGCCTAGACAGAAGACAATATTAGAATGATTAGAAGATTTTTTGACAGAGCACACGATGCCTCTCGAAACAGTGTGGCCAACATAAAAAAATTGAATGAATATGAATGTAGGCGCGCCAACAACGTTCAAATTTGAATTTAAACCCCATTTGCGTTTTGACTAGGGAATGCAATACCAATGGAAAATTTAAATACCGGTATTTCGGTAATTTTTCATTTTAAAACCGGTGTAAATTACCGGTATTTTTATTATCTTAAACAAACGTAAACAAAATTGAAAGTTACTAGTACAAATATAGAAAAATGTCTATACAACTACAACTATATTCAACTAAACAATGAAAACAATAAAATAAAATAATAAGTTTATTTTTCAGAATAATAATTTACCAAAAGTATATGCAATTTAATTAAATCACTATCACTATCGAGTCTTTTGAGTACTTTTCACCAAAAACAAACTTATGAGTAAGAAAGACCAAACACTCAAAAAAGATCATTTAACATTATTATAATAAACTGTATTGTCTGTATTCGATGTGTTAAATTAGCATAATCTCCAATATTTTAAAAAAATAATTTTCTACACTAATTTAAGATCGGATACTTTGTCGAGATAAAAGTTACTATAATTGTTGAGTATTGTTATTTAAAACAATGTGATGCTTCTATAGTATTTTCAAACTTCGAAACGTTTTCGGAAAATAATATTTTATAACTGTAATAAGAAGCAAAAATATTTAGTAGTTATCATAATTATTATGTATAAAGTTAGAAAAAAAATAAAGATTACGCAGAGGTGATCTGTATGATATAAAATATTTGGGCGCAAATGTCACTTAAAAAACCGTTACATTTTTACATAAGATGAAACAAGCATCTATTTATCAGTTCAATTCTATTTATTGTAACACGATATGAAGCCCTTTGGAAAGCAATAAATATTCAGTTTAATGACGAGTTGAGATAATATTTGACTTTGATAATATTTGTTTATCCTATAGAATCACTTGCAGATATAGCTGTTTATGCGATTATGGAATTTAAAGATAAATTTGTTCCGAAAAATTTAAACTTTAGTGTATTATGTATCAAATACCGGTTATGTAAAAATACCGAAAATACCGGTATTTTTGGGATAAATACCGGTAAAATTACTGCCGAAAAATCGGGCGGTTTACCGGTAATTCGGTATACCGGTATTGCATTCCCTAGTTTTGACTGAATCGGTACAGTAATTGTACCTTGGTGTTTGATGATAATTTGAACTGAATAAAACATACCTCTAATAATTTTACTAGTACTTTTTCAACATAAAAAATAGCTTTCAACACTTCGGAATATTTATTTAAAAAAAGATTTTAAACATAATTGCAATAATCTCTGTTAAAGGTGAATTATATAATATACCAATAATTATTTACAATTATTAACTTCCCGTAGAGTAGTTATAGTAATGGGCCGAAAATCGAAAATGTAAATTTTTGAATTACTCGATCTTTTGAAGGTTTCTGAACATTTTGGCATACCTCAGAAAAAATGAATGTGTGTGTGTGTGTGTTTTGTATGTCCCCATTTTTTCGTCCACGTTTTCGGGCGCACGGATCAACCGATTTGAATGGTATAAAAAACATTCGATTCCTATTGATAGGGAGATGTGCTGATTAGTTTTTGGCAAAGGTATGCCCAGCGGTTTCAAAGAAACAGAGCTAAATGTTAAAAAAAAAATGGCAGTTTTTGAGAGAACTAAGCGTCCGATTTAAATATATATAAATTTCAAAATGATTTGGAATAAAATATATTTTGGAAAAAAAAAATTGTTTCTATTTTTTTTTCAGAAAATATTTTTGTAATTTTGGATTAATAATTCAAAAAATTACTCAGGCTAAGCACATTCTAAGCGCCACCTTGGTACAAATGTTTACCCAAGTGCGTTTAGACTGTTTAAGCACTAGAGTACTTTTCCGATTTTGTGAAAACTCTTTTAAAAATGTGAAAATGCCGCCAAGCACAGTATAAGTGAAAATGTCGCACAGAATTGTTTGCAAATGCGTTTAGACTATTTTATTTTTGAAATTGAATTCGAAATGGAATGACGATTATTAATGTTCTGAAGATAAATTGATTTATAATTTACATTTGCTTTGCTCAGATTTAACAAGATAGCAAAAATAATGAAAGTTACAGTATTTGTAACAATATATTTGAAAACGTTTGAAATTTCTCGAATATTTCATTACGGTACGGGAAGTTCCAGCAATTTGCCTTAAGGCACGATGCCATGCACCACTAGTTTTCGATTTTTTTGCGATTACTATAACAGGAAGTTAAAAATTGAAATATCTTAAATAAATTCTTTCCACTTAATATTAAATCAAACTCATCACCATCATAATTAATATGAATTATATTTTTCCAATTTGGCATAAACATAATTTTTCTCTTTACATGTATAATAAGTTGTCGAATCACACTGCAGCAATGCTTTTATCATTAATATTAAATTCAGTAATATATATTCAGTATATAATATTATTATTACTACTAAAGTCCAACATTCGTCCGATTTGAGACACAAATCATAATAATATGGTAGAAGCTTTTTTTTAAGGCCATTTTGATTTTTCCCAACTTATTTATGTACAACTTATTTCAATAACATACGAAACACCACTTTTGGTCGACTGAGGAAATCAATGAGTCTTGTAATATTTGGGTTCACAGGTAACAGTATAAAATTGTAATTATTTACAAATCTCTCTAACATTATAAAAGGACTGCATCAATGTAACGACAATCGACAAAGACCAGGTTTCAGCAAAAGAACTAATATATAGATGTATCAATTATCATTATGAGCCGATTTTTTTGGAGTCTTTCATCAATGTTTGAACTTCAGGTACAAATTTGATTTTAAGCTTTATCGAAACCTTGAAACTGTTTTGACATGCATTGAGTTTGACATATGAGGAAAGAGTCCTTGTTGTCGGCTCAGAAAATACTTGTATAAATATGGTATTTATCACAATTACCAAAGCTTAAATCATCCACCTATCCTATATTTATATATGTGTGTGTATTTTCTTACCTAGTTATGGTTTAAATAATAAATCACTAGTATTGTGTTACAGAACGCACTTATTACATACAAACTACTTTTTGCCTTAATTTACAGTAAAAATCTAAAAAGCAAAACAACCACAAGTACTTTATTTAGAAATATAACAAACACTTTATTGATATTTATAACAACTTGCACATAACACGCAGTTTATAATAATAAACTCAATAATTTTAAATATTGTTTTGACAAGTGATTGCCGCCATTTTTGCACAACTTCACACTTTTAAAAAATTCTACCGTTAACCGTTAAGTTAGCAATTTACCAAAACCGTTACCATGACAACTGTCAAACAAAACAGTTGACAGTCTTTCAAGAACTGTCAAAAATAAATTTAAATTTATTTATTAAAATTTAAAGTTGTTTAAATCATATTCTAAATAAAATATTTGTGGTTTTATTGTACTTCCGCAGACTAGTAATATTTGTTAAATTATTTTTAAGCATTATGATCGAAAAAATTGCTTAAAATAAAATTTTTATCCAGTAACCTTAAACATTACGTGTATTATCTATGAGAATACATTTATAATAGAAGTTTAGTAGTGAAGCAACTATTAAAAAATAATTTATGCACAGAATTTATGTACAAATATAATAAATATAAAATAATTATAAACATAAAGGTAATTTCAACTGTCATCCACCCAGCTAATACAAAACTAAGGGGCTAATTTTTATTTAGAATTGAAATTTCATAATAAAACTATGTTATGGTATGAGTTTTGTAGTAACAAAATGTCAAAAACCTATGTATCTTTTTTATGCGATCAGAAGTTTTACACATAAAACCTAACCTAACCTAACCTCACTTACACTTGAAACAAAAATTTCATATTACAAAAGTGCATCTTTCTGATGTCTCATTGACAAGAGTTAGGTTTTTCGAGTAAAACGCAAAAACAAAGATTTTCGACAGTTTGTTACTAATAACTCATACAAATATAGACCCGTAACATAGCATTACTATAGCATTTCTATTTTATCCGAAAATTGACTTCTGAGTTATGTTTAAAAAAATAAGTATATAATAATAATAAATTTGATAAATCCTTCAGCCTTCTTCTTCAGTATATAACACTATGAGAATGCAATATGTGTAAATAAATAAATATCCAGCAAAATTATTATATATATATATATATATATATATATATATATATATACCTAACAAACTTACAAAATTACAAATGCACAATTAAACAAAAAAATCTACAAAAATGATATAAAAATAATGTATAAAATGACAAGAATAAAAATAAAATTAAATGTAGAAAACTTGTTATATGATTTATTTGTTATATGATAAAATAGTTGTTATGATTTAGAAAACACTCAAGACAAAATATTTGTACAGAACAGTCATATTTTTGAAAAAAAGAGTTAATATTTAATTTATTATTTTTTTATTCCTTGCAAAAAAATTTCTATGTTTTATTATTATTAATTATCTACGTGTCTATATATAACTTTGCTTGTTTTATAATTCTGTAAGTTCACTAGCTTTTTTACATACTGTATCATATTTTTGTTATGAATTTTAGAATGTATTATTTGTTGTATTTTATTTTTTATTTTGATGGTTAGCACAATATTTTAGCCATTTATTTAGCAAATAAAAATATTATATTATAGTTTTTATGTTGCATTTAGTTTTATTACCTGAAGAAGAGTAAAATTAGGACTCGAAACGCATGAAAGACTTATTAAACATTTTTTAAACACGTTTTTTTCAATAATTGGATGTCTGACTGTTGAATTTTCTTTGTTTATAATTATAATATATATATATATATATATATATATATATATATAATAAAGTATATCTATATACTAAACTGTTGTATCAAAAAGCTTGTTACAATATGAAGCAATTGTGCAAAATCATT